AAAGTCAACATATAAGTGAACGAAACGCATATCATTCATTCATATCGTTCAATTTTAATTTTAGTGTTGGCAATACTTTTTAATGGCACCTTTAAATATTCCTTAACTAAAGGACCTTTATAAGGGACTGTTAATGTTTTGTGCAACGTCTTTATTTTAATGAACTAATTAGTAATGACTCATTAACTAATGATATTTTTAGGGACCGCTTTCTGCAACTAACTGGCTGTGAGATAGGTTGGGTTGGGACTGGTTTTTTAAAGGGCACCTGCCTTCAGTAATAGAATGTAGAGCAAACTTAAATAAAAGAGCACATTTATCCTGTTCTTGCTCTTTAAAACAGATAAGTACCTACATAGCACTTATCATTAATTTAAAAATAGTCAGCCCAAATAAAAAAAGAGGTTGAGAACGTCCTTTTTTGTGATCGGTAAAAAGTGGCTTAAAAATATACTACCTCAACACTATCCAATTAGAATTTGTTACTAGCTCTCTTGAATTTAAAGTTGTGCTCTACGAAGTACTTTAGGAAGGGAAGCGAGAAGTGCCTGGATGCGGGCAGCGCAATGGAGATCTTTGGGGGAGACCTTTGTCCAGCAGTGGACGTCATTTGGCTGAAACGAACGAATAAATAAATAAAGTTGTACTCGTAGATGTCTGGCACCTCGTACCATGTCGTGGTAGATACGCAATGACTCTAAAGTCAATAAAAAATCCAAAAGGGAATAAGTAATTGGTTGTTGATTTACGACGTTCGTCGTTCGTAAAGTTGCGCAGGCGCTTGCGACAACCCCATTGCCCATTGTGTCTGCGTCAATGATATAATATCATTGGTCTGCGTGCTGAGAATGTCTGGACTGATATTTGTATCAACTTTTTTAGGTACTTGAGCATAGGAACTACCTACGTACAAACAATACAGTTCAACATGCCTATAGCTGTTCTATAGGCCTAAGATGCGCGCCGTGATTACTTTTAGCGACGTCAAAATGTATGGGCAAAATCGATAAAATGGCGTGATAATCGCTTATTCGCGGAGCGCATCTTAGGCCTACTGTAGGTCTGATTTATTACAAATGCGAAAGAACTCTGTCTGTACGTTACGTTTCACGTCTAAACCGTTGAATTAAACCAGCTCTGTAAAATTTTGCAGGGTAAATTGGACTTTTGAGAAGGACATGACCTGCTAGGTATTTCATTTTGTCGTAGAATAGACCCAAGGGGATGAAACGATTTCATAAGAAATACTTAATATTGTAAAGTAAAGAGAGGTGCGATACCTAAAGCTTTTAAGCTAAAAGCTTTCTGAAATTGAATCCTAGCGGACAAAGCCGCTTGCAGAAGCTGAGCTTTATGAAATCACATCAGTTTATGATCATTATGATTATCCTAACGAACCTGAAAAATGTCTGAAAACACGAGAAGAAATCATAGATCATTATTTTCAGCAAAAAGGCTTTTAAAAAGCTCTTTTACACGTCCACGTACACTGCTTCGGGACATAAATAGGCCAGTGATGAAAAGATGAAAATTGGTGCCTGAAATGCTGTCTGAAAAATCACGACAAGAAATCGTAGATTTTTTTTCACCAAAAAGGCTTTTAAAAAGCTCTTTTACATGTCCCAGTATTAGTTAACCCTACCACTGCTTCGGGACATAAATAGGCCAGTGATGAAAAGATGAAAATTGGTTGTTGGTAGGGCTTGTTCTAAGTCCGCCTGGCTAGCTACTACCATCTTACCTAAGTTTGTCGCCATAACCACAATGTTAACAGCATTGTTGTGTTCCGGCAGTTAGAGGTAAGATAGCCAGTTCCTCTGTGGTTGAGGATTCCGGGTGAAGCTCGCTTTCACCTTCGGCCTGATCATCACTTACCATCAGGTGAGATACAGGCCAAGAGCTTCCTCGTTGTGTATAAAAAAAAGCAGAGCACTTGGGAAGTAAGAAAATTGAAGAAAAAGTGCTCTTCATTGTCAGAACTTTCGAGAACCAATAACAGCACGTGTTCTGGATTTCTCGTTTTAGAATTCAACGCTCAATCAATCGATATTTGATTTACTGTTGCGTGTTGCGCACGCGCTTGCGACAGCCACCATCGGCCATTGTATGCGTGCTGCGAATCAATAACATGGGAAATGCATCGGCAGTTGCACTTGTCAGCTGTTTTATAATTGCATTTCGTGATGGTGTCGTAACACCATCGGGCGTTACGACTTGATGAATCGTCAGTTCCTTATCGGGTCATCGCCTTGCCTCTAAAAATGATTAGAGGGTGGGAGTGACTCTCTCGACTGGGAGGTTCTGGGTTTGATTCCAAATTAGGACAACGCATAGAGTGTAAAAGCACCCAGTGTAGATATTTGTGCTCCATATAATTAAGATCCGTATACTTTATAGAAGCCTTCCCAAAGTGGGCGATAACGCCCTCTTGTGAGCGCTGCAGACCTAAATGATGGACGACCCAGAAAAAAATTAGGGCGTCGTGTACAGGTTTGGGGGGCGATTTGTAATTTCATCTACTAGGAGGACTCTTAGACACCGACTGGAGCACTCGACTACATCCCAAGTAGCATTTTACTCCATTTAAGAGTTCACATTTAGTTCCAATGTGTACTTAAAGCATTAGTACAGTTCACTCGTGATGTATAAGCTGTATTATTGCAATTAATTACACCTATACCTGTCTAAGGGACTTATAGGAGTGTAGACTAGTGTAGAGTTATACTTTTATACGATTGTTGGTGTTATAATACTCTAACAACTATCCTTTAGTCAGCCGTCTGACTAAGAGCATTATAGGAGGGTAGAGATACGGCAACCGCTGTTTAACGGCCTACTTGTACGATGTTATAGAGCTAGCATTTTAATAGAACGGTGACAGCCTACCTTTTGGTGATTCGTTTTGGAGTTGGTTTTAATTTTTGGTGAAAATTAATTTATTTCATGCCTTTAGTAGACTATAGGTACTCAATAGACCTTGTTGTTGCCACTGAAGATGCATAGGTACACAGTACATTGATACCATATTTTTCATGTTAAGAGCAAATAAACTTCCCTAAATTACCTAACCATGAAACGTACCTATAGGCTATAATAATTAAAAAGTTTATACGCGATAAAAACTGAAATCCTCTTATAAGATGATGAATTTTAGGAGCATGTCATGAAACTAAAATTATTAGCATACAAAAACTTGTTTTTAAAAAAAGGTTTTTCTTTTAATTTATTTTTTTATTTATGATGCGGAATTTGCTGCGGCGTAGTAGCAAAGATTTTTCGTTATGTTAGCTCGTAATAATTTCGAAGAATAGTGATGTTTCCTGGGTAAAGCAAGAGTTTGAATTAGTCCGTCGGTCAACTTACCAAAAAAATACTTTAAATGTATTTTTCACTTTTTTTAACTTATGAAAATTTAAAGAGATACAGCGCGCCAAAGTTCAGAAGAGGCCCATGACGTTAAGGCGTGCTTAAAATTGTTGCGATTTGTGACGTCACGCGGAATTTCATAGCATCATAACTTCGTAATTACTTGTTTGCAATATTTTTTCATAGTGTAATTGACGGACTAAAAGTGTTTTTTTAAGAAACTAGACTATTCCTACGGCCACATTCCAGCTTCATCATCAGACCCTGTTTGCCTTTGAGAATTGAAGTAGGTAGGTACTAGTGATTTTTAAAGTAGCTTACTTACATAATATTACTTACTTATATTTATATAAATAAATAAATACAAATCAAACGAGCCTAAACTCGATGGAATCGTTTAATCCCGGAGTTGCTATAGGGCCACTGGCATTCCAGCTCTATCATCAGATCGACTCCATGTCATCACAATATTGCATTGTCATCCGAATTACATGTAGGTATATCCAAAATTTTAACTCAATCAGTTGTTGAAGGATTTCTAATAAAAAGACGAGATTAAACACATTTTCAGTTTATTATTCATAAGTGACAATAGACAAAAGAAGAAACATTTGCTTTTTTAAACCATAGACAATACTACTATGTGTTCCAATACCTACAGTTGTCGTCAGGAAGTTGGTCTAACAAATTCAGCTTGCAAGATTCCACCCGAAGTTACCTACATAATATTACATGTTCAAATTTCGAGAACGGCTGAACCGACAAAAACATTAGAAAATTTACGAAAAAATTAAAAAAAAATATCCCGTACAAAATGTTCACGGATTGTGTAATTTTTTTAAATACCTTTACGCCGCGTTAAATGACATCGACATCAAGGTTCATCAATTCAAGTTTAAAATAATAGGCAGTAATGTCATGAAAAAAGAGCTTCTATTCTGTATCTACTTATGCCCGTGTAATTTTGATCGGTGTCAAATCGGAGTTTTCGTGCGGGGTGCGCGGGTGTCTCGCGCGGCTTGAAGGTCAAACGCCCAAGGTCATTGAGGACTCTAATCGCCTTAAGTCCGATGTTACTACTTAAACTGCTATTATAATGCTGTTATACTGCTAATGTACAGCCATAGTGAACTTAAGGCTGTCTAATTTGTGCCCAAACTGGTTCTATAAAAGCATTATAGCAAGCTATACAGCTCGTATACAGCTGACATACACAGCTTGTGGAGTACATGTGAACGACTAGACATACTATATAGAACCCCGAATGTTACTTGGGATGCGCTAAAAATAGATTATTCTCAAAGTAAGCAGTACACAAAATAAGTTTGGGAACCCCTGCTTTAGAGGGAAAGCTTTGTCTAGCAATTGACGTCATTTGGCTGAAACGAACGAACGATGCAATGGTTAGGGTATTTCAGGTTTTTTTTTTATGTGACAGGAGGCAAACGAGCAGAGGGATCACCTGATGGTAAGTGATTACCGTCGCCCATAGACACCCGCAAGGTAGGTTTGAAAGTAATTTCGAGCTTCGGAGGTCACGTTAAAGATTAGGTGCCATGTTAGATGACTATGGAGTTAATTAATTAACTGATACATTTTAATGCTTCTGTATTTATAATTACTTTTTGTTTCAGATTGCACCTGCATGAAGCGCTACCATGAACCCGTTTGTAAAACAGGTAATGTGTGCATGTTTCATAGTTTAATAACTAACCTAGCCATACAACGGTTATAAAAAAAACAAAATAATTTAATTGCAATTTGAATGTAAACAAAACTAATTATTCAGGTTCGTGATCACTGTTGTAATAATCAAGCATAAACTTTGGTAGACTGGCTTTTTATAATTCCAAGTATTATTATATTCAGCTTCAACAAGTATTTTTTGTTGGTCTACATTTATATCAAAAGAAATATCAGTTAGGTACTTATCAGGTTGATTCGCTATGGTCAAGGCGTTATGAAAAAGTTATAAATAAATTAATGATTATAATTATTCTGTTTCACAACAGTCACCACCACAACTCAGTGAGTCATACATAAATAAGTGTATGTGTGAATGGGGCCCAGTACTTCTAGTATAAAAGAATTTATCCATAACTCCATAAAAATACCCTAATGAAGCCTATTTACCTAATTAAATATTTTAAATTATTTGAGTTCTCGCTCAACTCACGGGGCAACCCCGTAAGCCATGGAGTTAAAATTGTTTACTTACTATGTTTGGACATCTTAAAATAATGGACTATTGACATCAAACATTCATTTCACTGTTAAATAACTTCAAAACCCAGCCGCATTTCACTGAATTTAACTACAGAAAACATGAGCCGGACGACGTAGTGTGGCCTGGCCTCCCACTAGGTGGACCGACGATCTGGTGAAGGTCGCGGGAGGTGCCTGGATGCGGGCGGCGCAGGACCGGTCTTTGTGGAAAACATTGGGGGAGGCCTTTGTCCAGCAGTGGACGTCTTTCGGCTGAAACGAACGAACGAACGAGAAAAACTTATTAATCAAAAAGCACAAGCACAAGCTATACCTACCAAACACTTGCCGAATCAAAACATTAGGTAGCGTAACATAAAAACCGTACATTGACTTAAAAAAATACCAACTGATAGAGTCCGTTTAATGTTTTTAATTATTGACATTTAACTTTAACATAGTAACAATTGACTGGCGCAGTTACCGGTCGTGATAAAATAAACGTGCAAGATTCGTATCGCGAATAAATAAATTCAATTTTTGCTATGTAATCGTTGGTATTTGCATAGATCATGACCGCGCACTGTTGCCAGCCAGGATGGCAGGTCTAAGAATCGGTAAGGCGGAACTAATGGAAAATGGTCAATTTGAACTGGACACTTTTGGGTGTCATACTCGTACAATAAAAAGAGTGTCAAAATTAAGCGACGATAGCGGAGAAGGTGTTGGACTGGCCGACTCGTGATCCGAGGAACACGGGTTCGATCCCCGCCGTCCCTCGACTGTAGTGTATGACACACCTCTAATGCAAGGCATATACTTATAATTCGATTGTACCTACCGCCAATAAGTACATTTTTTACATTTAAATTTGAGAAAACCAAATTAAAAGTTTTATGTAACATCATGTATTTTGTATGCAAACTGTGCAAATAATACCTAATGTGTTAAAGAAATAAATGCGAAATTAACCTAAATCTTTGAGAAAAAAAAAAAAACTTGTAACAAAATGTAAAGTGAAATATGTATTTTCAACCGACTTCAACAAAAAAAAGGAGGAGGTTCTCAATTCGACCCGTATGTTTTTTTTTTTTTNCAAGGGTGGTCCCATTTAAATTTAATAATAGAAAAAACAACCCCCAAGGGTGGAAAATTGGGGATGAACTTTTTTATACGCAATATCTCCGCCGATTATAAATCAATTTGAACGATTATTTTTTTGTTGAATAGGTATTATCAAAAGGGTGGTTTCATGCGAATTTGAAGAAAATATTTCACCCCCAAGGGTGGAAAATTGGGGATGAACTTTTTTATACGCAATATTTTTAATTTTTAGTTTTTTTTTGTGTTCACGCATTTGAAGTCGGTTTTATTTTTTTAAAAGTTAATTATGAACAGTACATTAGGTACTCCGATTTGTTCTATTTAATTGTATTAAATTCAAAATAAAAATGTATACTTAAAACAAACAATTGGAATCAATAACATAGTAATAGTTTTCTAAATTTTTATTCTATTAATTTAAAAAAAAAAATTATAACACATTTTTTTTTCTCAAAATTACGGGGGTGGTGTAGTGTATGACACACCTCTAATGCAAGGCATATACTTATAAGTTAGCTGTAAGTCATTTTAATAGTAGTATTAAACCGATCGTCGACGAATTAACATCTTTTATTCCATCTCCTTGGTCCCCACATTACACGATCATTGTGGTGAATCCACTCGTAACACAAGCATATTTAGCTTATCACGACGGGTTGACGGGATTATCAGTGATTTGTAGCCATGAAACTGGCAACTGACATGCGCTTAAAAGAGGGAGACCCAGGATGTTGGGCTACCGATTTGAAGATAATAGTTGATAGTTAACTCATGAGCTATGATACGAAAAAGAACCATAGATACGCCAATGGCCACTGACTCTCATGAAAATACAACTACTGCAAGCAAATAATACTTCGACCGACACACTACCTAAATATCACAGGTTTAACGGGACTATTCCCACCTCTCGTTCCCACCGTAGCAACTCCTGTGTAGCCAGGATCTATAGCTTGACCGCCATAAAAACCCAACGAATGAAGGTCAAGATTATCACATATTTCTCGTTCGTTCGTTCATTTCAGCCGAAAGACGTCCACTGCTGAACAAAGGCCTCCCCCAAGGATTTCCACAAAGAAATGCGCCGCTCGCATCCAGGCACCTCCCGCGACCTTCACCAGATCGTCGGTCCACCTAGAGGGAGGCCTGCCCACGCTACGTCTTCCGGCTCGTGGTCGCCACTCAAGAACTTTCCTGAACAGGTTTCTCATGAATACTTTAATATTTCCAGCTGTTCGTGGTGAGCGGGGCAGCGCTGAACATAGCGGGGCACGGCTGCGCACACGGCTTCCCAGCTGTGCTGTTCGCGCAGCTCGCTGTGAGCAAGGAGGTGGTGCTAACTGACCATGATACATCTTGGATAGGTAAAGAACACACACAGTTTTTACGGTAATTCATAAGACTCATGAGACTTACTTGACCTGAAAACGACGCTAGATATAAGGATAAAATTACTCGAGATTTCCGCTTAGTGTAAATCTTAAGCTAAGTAATTTTATATTTTCAACCGACTTCAAAAAAGGAGGAGGTTCTCAATTCGACCCGTATGTTTTTCTATGTTTGTTACGCGATAACTCCGCCAATTATGAACCGATTTGAACAAATCTTTTTTCGGCGTATAGATAATACCTCAAGGGTGGTCCCATTTAAATTTAATAATAGAAAAAACAACCCCCAAGGGTGGAAAATTGGGGATGAACTTTTTTATACGCAATATCTCCGCCGATTGATAAATCAATTTGAACGATTATTTTTTTGTTGAATAGGTATTATCATAAGGGTGGTTTCATGCGAATTTGAAGAAAATATTTCACCCCCAAGGGTGGAAAATTGGGGATGAACTTTTTATACGCAATATTTTTAATTTTTTAGATTTTTTTTGTGTTCACGCATTTGAAGTCGGTTTTATTTTTTTTAAAAGTTATTATTATTAATATCTAATTGTGGATTTCCGCTAAGTAACGCCTGATACTATTTATATGAAAACGACGTGTCGCATAAGTTAGCTTAGAAATATTACTTCCGTAGTGTGAAATTAAATAATGCCTAGATTTATCTTGTTAGATCATCGCTGTACTACAGTCGACATCAGACTATACATAGTTTCCGTTCCGTACATGATTTTGATAGGATTCACATAATTATAATCAAATGACGTAGTTTAATAAGAATTTAAATACACTGTGGAAACTTACCCTCTGTTGTTTCCAGCATCCGTCCTCGGCGCCATGGGGATCGTCGGCAACTTCATCTCTCCAGTCCTGATGACCCGCTTCGGCCGCCAAAGAGCACACCTCATCTCCACCGTCCCAGCTCTCTTGGGATGGATCTTCTTTTTCCTGGGAAACTCTGTCCCGCTCTTCATTATAGCCAGGCTATTACACGGCATGGCCCTCGGACTCAGAACTCCTCTAGCCGCCATATTAGTCGCTGAATACACCGATCCCAAATACCGAGGAGCATTTCTTGGGACCTTCGCCATTTCTTTAGGATTAGGAATATTTTTGTCACATGTTTGGGGAGCACATTTAACATGGCGAGCGACCGCTGGAGTCTGCGCTTTGTTCCCACTAATATCCATGGTAATTATAAGCCTATCACCGGAATCTGCCAGTTGGTTAGTGTCCAAGGGAAAATTTGAAGAAGCTAAGAAGGCCTTCAGATGGGTAAGAGGCGAAGGCGAGGTACAAAACGCGGAATTGGAAGCCATGATCACGGCCCAAAAGGAAGAAATGAAAGCAGAAATCCAGAGGAAGGACGCAAAGAAGTTCACATGCAACGGCATGTTCAAAGCAGTCGTTGATGGCATCAAAGATGCCTTGAGGATATTCAAAAGGAAGGAGTTTTATAAGCCGGCTTTTATTGCTATTAGTATGCTGGTGGTCTTCGAGTTCGGTGGAGCACACATGTTTGCTGCCTACGGGAACATAATACTCTGTGCTGTTCTCGACAAGAAGAACGTCGAAGACGTGGCTTGGCAGTTCCAACTGATGGACCTTCTGAGGACAGTTTGCGCATTGGCTGCCATATTTCTGCTCAAATTCTTCAAACGAAGGACCATTCTGTTCACAAGCGGTGCTCTGACTGTGCTGTCACTATCGTCTATTTCTGTTTTTATTTACATGAGAAAGGCGGGTCTTATCTTATCGCCATGGGTTTTAGACACAGTTCCATTAATATTAATGATAGTGTATGTTGTAGTTTTTTGTTTAGGTTTAGTCCCGTTGAACTGGGTGATATGTGGCGAAGTGTTTCCTTTAGCGTACAGAAGTTTAGGATCAACGTTGTCCACGTTGTTTTTAACGCCATCGTTCATGATATCTATGAAGACTGCTCCTCATTTGTTTTCTTCTGTGGGTGTAGAAGGAGCCTTTCTAGTGTACTCAGCTACCTTAATTGTATTCCTATTAGTAATTTACGCGTTATTACCAGAAACTAAAGATAGAACGTTACAAGAAATAGAAGACAGTTTCAAAGGCAAAAAGAAAGTTGATCAAGAAGTACAAATGACGTTAATTAATAAAGAGGATATTGTAGTTATGAAATGATAATAAAGTGTAGATACTCATAACAATTTTATATTTAGTATAACATTTAACATTATTCTGTGATAGATAGGTACAATAATAATTATACATAATATAGGTGGGTAATTAGACACATATTATTTTCAAGTAATAGACAATAACACTAATACTTTGTAAGACTAGTCTTCAATGACTTTTACCTATAAAACATACTTTAAGTAAATCTTAGAATATAATAAGGCATACATATAAGTATTATCAGGCACTTAATGACGACCTAAAGATATAAAATTGTATGATTTGAATTATCAAACATAAATGAGAATAAACTTTCCTTTGATTTTATTCTATTTTGAGTAACACAGTTCCAATGAAGGCATTACATACATAATTACATACATAAATAAGTACCAAAAGACAATTAAAATACAATTATAAAAATATTTTTGGTTTTATTTTATCATTTTTCCTCATTAGAAGCTCCTACTTATCTCTTACTTAGCAATAAAATTACTTTGGTAGCATTCAATAATTCTAGATTTTATAATAACCCTCATGGTTTCACAGTTATGGCAGAATAAAATGCATATAAAATGTCACTATAACACGATACATATTACTTATTATTTTTATCTAAAACTATAACACAAAAAGCTTTAAATTAACATTCATAACTTTGAACTTATACTAGTTAATGAGATTCTGGAATTCTGTAGTTATGTTAGTAGTAATAAATCAATATGATTTTGTAAAACCTAAATTATAGGTAAAAAGTATTATAATTTACTCTGGTATGGCTTTCCAAATGGTATTTATCTTATCGAGGTTCAGATCTGGTGGCCCAAACAGAAACTGACCAACAGAGTCAGGGCCAAACATGGTCAACAGATTAGTACGATGTTTATTGAGAATGAGTGAAGAAAGAGGCGTCCGGGCCACTCCAATCATCTGAGCGCAGATTCCGGTGATGTGAACGTCATCGATCCAGAAGTACGGTAAGCTTTGGGCAGTGGCCAGCAAGCGTGGCACTACATCTTGAGAATACAGGATCGCCCAACCTGGAATAAATGACAATCATACAGTTAATAATTATACTTGTAATGCAAATAAAGTAGTAGACTACAAGGCAAATAAAGTAGTTGTTTAAGGCAAAAATGTTTATGTAATTTCAATACTCATTTACCTGCACAATATGTTGGATAATACTGAGCAGAAAACTCAGTTAGTGACACCCTCCATTTGGACTTGTTTGAACGCTGTGCCTGAGCATGTTCTAGCACTTGGCATGTTATCAATCCCTTCGTGCCCCACGGAGACAGCTCCTTAGCCAGAAACCTCCTCAGCTCATGCGAATTGACCACCATATCATCGTCAGTCTTCAAAATATACTTAGCAGTCGGGCAGTGATGCACCACCCACTTCAAGGCCATAACGTGCTTGTATGTCATATTCCGATATGCGTCGGCAAAGTTCCCCTGCACAATATCTCCGTACATTTGACTCTCGTTCCTAATTTGCTGCTCTATCTTCGGTTTGTTTGTCTCTCCCATCAAAAACACAACTTTAGTGGAATCCACTGATCTTCCCCACGTGCTGCGTATAACCATCCTGTTCTTAAAGTTCGTAGGCCTCGAAGCTACCAGCACTACCAACAGTAACCCTGCTGGATAGTCTCTACATGTCTGAGGATTGATTTTAAACGAAAAGTTTCTGATATCTATCAACTGATCGTAAGTGTCGTTTACGACGATTTCGTTAACACTATCAGGCCCAAGAATAGAAAATTTAGGATCACGAATACGTACAACAACCGGCGTTGTGGTGTGATAGTAATCGTAAAGAAACATACACCCGAAAATGCAAATCAATACCTTGTGAAGAGTCAACATGTCGAATTTTTCTCGTTGAAACTCGGTCATATTTCAATACCACAGACAGTTATGTGTTTCACACTACGACGTGAAGTACACTGAACATTGTAGCCATCTATTTGGGATTATACAACAGGAAATTCAGATAAAAACACGATAACAAACTCCACCAACCAAGCCAATGTTTTGGTTTTTTGACATTTCTCTGACTGACATTATTGACAAGACGTTTTCGTTCGAAAATCTTAAAAAAAATTTTTTTTATTCGTTATAATAATGTTCGAAATAATAGTTTTCGTAAAAAAATATTCTCTTATGAAGATTCCAACTCGAGTTTATTTGTTTGTTTTACCCTTAGTTTTACTTAGTAATGGTAAGTTTCTCGTTTCAGAATAAATTGTTTCAGAACGCAGGTAGTAAAATAAGTAAAGGGAGGGGTTTTCCCTTGACGTAGATGGCCACTGGCCAGCAAACTATACCAACAAATCAGCAAAAGCCCGTGGCAAAATTTAAAGGGCAGTGTATCGTTTCTAAATGTTGACGATGATTAACCCGGCCGAATACGGCTATGGCGAATACGACTCCTAACTGTCTTGGCGGCGCTGGTGCGCCCAAAGATGATTAAGCCTCAGATCATAGAAGATCTTCTTCGTGGAGTAATATTGTACGCTAGTACTCCTCGAACTTTTTTTTTATCCACAACGAGGAAGCAAGAGCTTGTATCTCACCTTATGGTAAATGATGATCAGGCCGAAGGTGGAAGCGAGCTTCACCCGGAATCCTCAACCACGGAGGAACTGGCTATCTTACCTCTCTCTAACTGCCGGAACACAACAATGCTGTTAACATTGTTGTTATGGCGACAGACTTAGGTAAGATGGTGGTAGCTAGCCTTAGAACCAGCCCTACCTACTACCTATTGCAACTCTAGAACTTGCCTCTTCGCAATCTCTCCAGGCACTGTGCTGTGCTGTCTAACTTTCTCGTTGAGAGGGCTCAATATTGCATCTTTGCATGGTGCTTATGGACATGTTTGTACATCAAAAATATACCCATTATAATGCACGATGCAGGAGCCAAGTTACCTAAAGATAGTGCTGAACTTTTGAACTTTAGCGTGTCGAGCAGCCCGATGTTGATTCGCCGACGCGGCGCTTCGAGCCCTATTATTGGCGATCGGCCACGCGGCTTGCGGCCACTTGAGCACGCCCGCTTTGTAGCCACAGCAGCATAGATATAAAGATGATAAAACCTTTTTTATCTTTATAAATCTATAAAACGATCTATGTATGGCGAAGTAATGGCCTCCCAAGTCCCAACGCCTTCTTTTGCAATAATACCTGCGGCATCATAATGAGCCACCTAAAATCCTCACTGTTAAAAATAATTCTTAGCTTGTATAGCGCTAGCACCCAGAGTTATGTGCACGATCGAGGAGTTTAAACCCTGAAACCACTTTATGACCGTAGCCTATGCCAAAGCGAAGCGTCCTGAGACCAAAAACCTGTACAAAACGGTTCTACTTGCGGACATTAGGGTTCCCCTTTAGTCCTCCACCTCCTCGATCAACAAACTCCCCACTCCACTGACTAGTTACGTTCCTCCCGCCGAAACCTTATCGTCGGATGAACAACCATGATCTTTTATGATCCTTTTAGAAGGCCCCTACTTCAAGCTCCTCTGCCAGTACAATGGAAGACCTTGCTAGGGATACGGGAAAACTGATAATGGATGCACAGTTTTTTGTGGTGGTCTAGTGCCGTTGTCAGGAAAAAAGAAGTGAGTACACACAAAACGTATAAATTCAGAAGTACCGACGGACATAGTCTTACAAAGTATGGACTGGTGTAAACAGCTCTGTATAGATGCTGAGCGGCCGTGCTCAAGGGCCGACCTCAAACACGGCCGAAGCCGATGCTGCGACTCCGCACTACTTATTAACCTCATTGCTGGAAATTAGGACGTCTATACTTAGCACAGGTTTAAATCTCATTTGCACGTTAGGTCATAAAATAGATAGCGTACAAACCTACATGAATTTTAAATGTGACTACTGCGGGCAGTTTTGGTTGGTTGTTAAAGTCATCTCTAAAGTGTTTTTATCCATTCGTCAGATTTCATGAAACATGGCCACACAGCCAAGTTTGATTGGATCGTCCATTAACTGTGGGAACTGGGAACGACCATCGGCGAAGCGTACAAATACCTACCATCTATCTACATCTTTTGTCCTCGGAAAATATAATTTTAAACCTGCAATGTCCTCTACAGACCGAAAACTATTCATCCGTTATTCAGTCTGCATTATAGGAGCACGACCGGACCCCAAGTGGAAAATGGAAGATTTGGTTCACTCCGAAAGACTCCAAAATTGACGGACGCGTAATTTATCTTGAGGAAATGATTCATAACATAAAAAAAGTTATTAGTGATAATTTATCTTTGGGCCTAATTAAAAGTGACCATAAGTTTTCCAACAGTATTTTAAACATTTTTTTACTACGGAACCCTAAAAATGCTGAATGCTTGATGTCTGCAGTATGGCCGTTTCATCTTGTCATAATTTTTATTGCGCATGTCAGGGGAACGGAACGCATCGGTCAAGTTTGAACTTTGGCTGTCCGTCATTACGTTTCCCGCGTTTGGCCGGCCGCTGTCAAAGTTGGCGCGCTTTTGTTGGGCGCGAATTTATTGTATACTTTTTATTAAACATTTTAAAAACAAAACAAAAGTCTCTATTTAGAATAAGTAAAGTTTCGACAAAATTATGTAATGCACATTATTTTAATTTTCATTCAAAGCTATGAAAATGGCAATGGATGCTTGCTATATTTTTTTCGTAAATTTTAAATAAGTAAATTAAGGGATTATTCACACACTTACTTAAGGGATGATTTATACACATCATTCACATAAAAGTTAATGATGTGTGATTCCTATTAAAATTATGTAAAATAATCAAAATCAAAATGGCGGCTCAAAAATTATTGTGGCTGACGACGGTGCTCCTGCGGCTGTGGCTGGGTGCGACGGACCTGTGTTATGCCCAGTAAGTATTTTAAACTTTAATGTAGTAAATCAACTACCTCTTTTACAACCATTATAATGTTAACTCATTCTTAGCATCTGCTAAAAAGTTTAATCCTGTAGCTTTTTCTTCTGCGTGTAACTTTGCTAGTATTTTCTACTAGGAGATTTAAAATGCCTTAAAACAGTACAGCCTAATGCCTTAGAGCCTACCTACTAGTATGTACCTACCTAACTAGTTATTCTGTAATTAAAATAGCTTGAATTTTGTTGAATTTCTTAACGCGGTAACGACCCTTCTCTTGTCGGGCGACTACTCTGACTCTCTGGGGTTCGATTCCCATCTTGGGAAATTTTGTGATTTGTGAAGTTGGTTATTAAAAATTTAGTTTGAGATGCAACTACACGCTAAAAAAATTAACTCTACTACGTAGGTAAATAAATAATAAACTAAAATGTTCGAAAATAAAAAATGCAATGAGATTGTTTAATATAATTACTTTGTAACATGTTATTTGATGCAGCAGTAGTAAATAATCCTATCAGTTTCTAAAGTAAGAAGCTCACTTTAAAACATTGTGTAGGCATTTTTATTCCAAAAATAAGACATTTCCAAAACGAAACAACAGCTTATTGTTATTTTGAAAACAATTCAATTATTGTTATGGTCGTAATGGTGAACTGATCATGAAAAATTAATAACCCACAAATCTACATAGAGACATACGACGACCGAGGCGCTTTTGTTCCAGCTCAAATGTTGACATACTGTGCAAGGGCCCTCGTCTGAATGGCCCTTGGCTTCTAATGTGCGCTTTGAGGGATCGAGTATTTGTAGGTCGAGACCCAAACGTGTATACAATTGAAAAGAAAGAAAGAAAGAAAAAATGTTTATTCAGTATCATCGACAATACACTTACAATACTTATTATTTATTATTATATTCAACTAGCTTTCCGCGTTTCCGCCCGCGGCTTCGCCCGCGTGGAATTTTGTCTGTCACAGAAAAACAATATCGCGCGCGTATTTGCTCACCGTTTAGACCTACCCTGGACTACAACAAACATTTTAAAACTAAAATCAGCTCAATCGGCCCAGCCGTTCTCGAGTTTTAATCAGACTAACGAACATCAATTCATTTTTATTTACCTATATAGATTGTACACAAATACGCGCTTTATTTATTTACTCAATGACCCTGACTCTAGATAAATAAAATGCCTTAGTCTTTGCTTTAAACCTCATGTTTTTAGAGATTTGTAAGTTCTGGAAATCGAAGATGGAATAGTAATCTTAAAAGACCCCGCTTAAATTATGCCCGATATCTAGGTATGGCTCCATTGAGTTCTGGCTGAAAATTTTGAACTCAGGAAACTGAAATAAATCAGATTCAGATCAGAAGACAAAATTGGCCAAGTGCGTGTCGTGCCACGCATAGTGTAGGGTTCCGTAGTAGTCCGTGTTAACACAATATATTTCAGAAGCAAGCTTTGATATTTATGTTACCCCACTAGTTCCCCACAATTCAAGTAAGATTCCAATTAATAAATGTAAAACTGGGTTTTAACTGAGGTCCGCTAAACACGAACAGCTCGAGCAGAGCTAGTGATCATCATAGTAAGTACACGGCGGAGCGCTCTTGCAGTCATGGTTAATTGAAATTTCACCATGCTGCCAACTGCCCGAAGCAGTGACAATACTGACATCTGCTCGAGCGGTATAAACTATACCGCTCGACAGTCGCAGCTTGAAGCTGTCGATTTTAGCTGTATGTTTAGTCAGCCTGTACACCGACTGGCCAGTCCCTCAAACACTCCCCTTTGCCACCAGATCCACCCTGCTGACCTTCCAAGACCTGCTGCCGGACGACCCGCGGCACTACGACAAGATGCGCCCGCCCAAGATCAACGACCAGCCCACCATCGTCAACTTCCACGTCACCGTCATGGGCTTGGACTCTATCGATGAGAACTCCATGGTAATGTTGTAGAAATAACGGAATTACCTATTCCGAAAAACGTTATCTGAAATTTTGAATGTTGCCAGAGATGCTAGCATGAGCGACGGTGACAGATAGATCCGAAACTACGTAAACAGCGTTTCGGAGTAGTCCTCCTGGTTCAGTGAATGCCAGCTGCCGTGTAGGTTTAGATTTTTTAACTTTAATAGTTTAGTAGCCCACCATAGTAAACGTTCACGTCACCGTCATGGGCCTGGACTCTATTGATGAGAACTGTATGGTAATATTAATGTTATAGAAAAGGCTTGGCAGTGATTGCAGATAAGTACCTACTGTGCAGGATTTTTTCTAAATTGTGGATTTTGAGGAAGAAACACTGAAATATTTTCAGGACCATATTTTTTTTTTCTGTGACACTAGGAGGCAAACGAACAAATTTTGCAAGAGCTTAGTTTTAAATTCGTTTTTAAATAATGAAATTAATTCATCGCGTTCATGTGTGTCTAAATACATAGCCCAATGTGTGTGTATAACGGCCATTCTCACGATTAGGCGTTCTCAGCCTAATTACCATATTATTTTTGAAATTTGGCTTAATTGACTTAAACGCATTTAAATATAAAACATATGAAAAGTACGAATTTAACAATCGTAAAGGCGTCAAATTATTCAAAACGGTTTTCGCGTAAATGAGATCCAAAAATTTTATGGTCACGGTAATTAGATAAGGCTAATACTTAATCTAACGGTAATTAGAAAATATATGTAAAATAGCAAAAATAACAACATCATGCATTGATAAATATGTACACAAATAATAGCGTCATATAAAAAGCTGTAGGTACCTACTCTTAATAGCCCTTTGCAAAAAGAAGAACACTAATTTCTATTATTTATTGTATCATTATATTTTCAGTATACTGCAAGAATCGAGGCTATAACAGGAACACTTAGTTTCAGCAAGAAGGGGCTATGTGTCACATTTAAAATGAGAGCATTTAGCTGAATCAGAATCTGAATTTTGCAATTTACTTTAAATGTGGTACAAACGATGGATACAAATAATGGATCAGGAAATTTGACTTTTTGGATATGCATAAATCGAAAAATGTATTAATGATATTAGTGTTTTTTCCTCTTTTTAATCTATCTGTGAGCAGCCATCACCCATTATCAGACTAAATTGAATTTGTAATAATGACAGTTCCAGCTCTGCATATCCCATGATTTGTCACCTCGATTCTTTTACAATAAGTTTTCAGATTGATGCTAATCGCTTTCTCCTGAGCCTGAATGCAGAATTCTCAGAATTTAGAAGGGATGCAGCAAATAGATTTCATGACGATCTAGTCTTTGTTTGTAAGCTTTACAGGATTTTTCTACATGCTCTTTGACGTTTGGTATCACTTCAGTGGACTTTGTAAACCGGTCGATGCCATAAATGTCTACATGGGTTTTAGGATGCATTTGTATTTTGTTTGTTCTCCAAGCTTCTTCTGCCCAGTATCCATTGCATATCACGAAGTTTTTTGCATAACAAAGCAGGTAGGATGCAGTCTAGGATGGTACAAAGTGCCTAAACACTCTCGTTTTAAAAAGGCCCATTGTCTGTTCATTTGTTCCCTTTTGTTCTTAATGTGATCACGCTAGGTAAGTGTTACTGTTGGACAATCTCATCTTCTTAGGGCAAAGTTAACATGGATAGATTTTAATGGTATTATATTAGAATTAATTAATGATTTAACATGTTAATATCAATTATATTAATAGTAAAAATAAATATCTGGTACGAGACATGTTTCACGCAGGGGACATCTCCTGGCCATCAGGAAGCCCCGATTTCACTCCAGCTAACTTTTTTTTGTGGGGTTACCTTAGGGGTTAAAATATACTCTAAAATCCAACAACCATGCAGCAACTGAAGCTGAACATTCGTCATGAAATCGAATCTATTTCGAGGTAACTATAACGAAAGCTTTTCAAAATTTTGATGTCAGATTGGAAGAAAAGTCCGTAAAGTTGTTATGCGAAAGTCTAGGTATTTTATAATCATACTTATTCAATAGTGAGTGCAATTTGTAGGTAATAACTTCATACAACGGTGATTATAAATATATGGTAATTAGTACATGGAAATTAGAAAACGATAGTTTTTCTTCAAAATTTCCAAAATCTGCAGGGTATGCAAATACTGTCTTACTATAACGTATGGAGGCCAAAATACTGATTCTATTTAAATCAACAACGTGGATCTACCTTCAAAAATCTAGTTTAAAAATAAGGACATGGTAAATAGAAAAATTGAAAACCAAAGATATGGTAATTATACTCTTACGCAATTCATCGACGGTACGCCAACGCAATAGACGTCTACTTGCTTACAGGTCATAGAACTAACTAAGGGCTCGCGCCGCGCGCGTAAATGATGTGTCAAATATTATTATTTAGGCTTGTGTGCCCAAAAACAAAAAACGTCACGGGAATTAGGATTTTCGCTCGGACAAGCAGTTTTTTAATTCTAATTATTTACAGAATGGTTCTATTGAATAGATATTTTGCCATGCATAAGACAATCTTTTATACTCTTTAAAATGTTGAATGGAGTAAACCAAATCTTTACGACATAAAAATTACAGCCAACTTTTAACATTAAGTCGGTGTGCGGACGCGTAACGGTAATTAGAGAACAGGGTTTCATGAAATTAATTTAGACACAAATACTTAAAATAGAGGCCTATGATTTAATGCACAACTGGATATGGTTGTTAAGTAACATATAAAAATACTTGCATGTCTCTAATTTGTCATTTTTAACGATTTAACAGCCCGGACACGCAAAAACTAGCTCATCTGAGAATGGCCGATAATTGGATATTCGAATTCGAAGGTCGGTAATTTATTTTGATCCTCGTTGAAATCAATTATTCATGAGAAGTACGTATCTAAGAAATTGATGACAAGCAAGAGGCAGGTCAAGAATTATTAATTTAAAGTAAGTAACTACTAGGATTGGATCATGTTAACCATTAATTTCTTCTTGTACCCAGACCTATGCTGCGGACATATTCTTCGCGCAGACATGGAAGGACTTCCGGTTGCGGCTGCCTGAAAACATGACGTCAGAATACAGGTAAGAAGGCCGTTTCAGGCTATTGGTATTTAAAGTAGGTAGCTTAACTAGGTAGGTATATTTTTACACAAGTTATAAGTACCTACTTGATAAAAAATGGTTTTCAGAATAACAAATTGCGCTTACTTGAAATCTCAGTGTTTCTAGATTGCCTATCAAGTTGGCCTTAATATTCGCGACAGACTTATAAATCACGTAAGTATTTGACCAAATCCTTGATAGATGACAGTGATTAATCGGCAACCTGTAACACATTTTGTTTTGATAGTTTTAAATGGAAAATACCTTTGCTTTGTTGTCTGTCTCGTTGGTTTAACGATTCTTTAATGAATCAAGATTCGAAGACCAGGAACTTACTTGTTTTCGGGAAAAGAATGTCACGTTTTTTGGTCATCATCTGTCATCCTATCCAACATTGAGTTGGAAACTAACGACTGGTTACTGATTTACATTTAGGCACAGAGCAACTCAATGTGTCTAGCAATGGACCTCGAAAGAATAAAGATTGATAATTATTATGATGATGACGAATAATCGAGTTCGGGACAATTTGGCATTTCAGTTCGGCTGAAGTTCTTGCAAACCTGTCATTTACAGCCTGTAATCATGTTTGGTTAATAACTCTCCCACAGTCTATCTATCCTTCTATCTATCCAATACTTTAAGTACCTAAGTAAGTACCTAGCTGCTTCTTATGCTCTTCTACAGACGAGAGCACATCAAGATTAACGCTGTTGTGCTTGTTGCAATTTAAGGTCTGCTTCTAATGTGCGGTCGACTGTAACTGTACATCCCGATACCAACTGATCGCCTAGATATGTAACTTAAACATTCGTGGCAGTTTAATTTCGAAATCACTTCGAATCATAATATTTTGAAGCGATTTCGGAATTAAAAATGCTAACTTTGTCTAGAAAGGCTGAATGTTTGTAATCCTCGCAGGCTGATCGACCTGGACTGGCTGAAGCACATGTGGCGGCCGGACTCCTTCTTCAAGAATGCCAAGTCTGTTACCTTCCAGACCATGACCATCCCCAACCATTACGTGTGGCTGTACAAGGTATCTACCTACCATAGTATACAGTTTTAGATGTTATACATTGGCTGTCTTTCTTTTGTTTATCTAAGATGAAGAAATGATTTAGTCCGGGCATTTTCAAGGCGAGAGTGAATAGGCACTTACAGGGCAGATTTATGTACCATCGTAGACTGCATCTCACTTAACACCAGATCAAATATCTGCCTTGTCTTGCATAAAAAAGTAAGAATAAGTCAAGTGCCCTTATTATAACCTGTATAACTAAGCCAGTTCCTTTGCTTGAATTGATGTCTAGATTAATATTAGGTCTTCATTATTATAAAATACCTACGCAGCGCAAGACCGGTTCGTAGAAATCCTTAGAGGGAGGCCTTTGTCCAGCACTGGGTGTCATTTGACTTTAGGAAAATTGTTTACAAGATGATTAAATCACTATTAATGTGAGCGACTTCAGAAAAGGAAAAAAAATACCATTGAAAAGATTTATGTATGATTTATATGCATGCATTAGCTTACCAACAACTTCCAAATGAATTCTTCAGTAACAGTCTAATTATTTATCAATTTCCTCAAAGTCACTTTCCCATGTCTCTTCCATGAACCCCCCAAATTACATAGGGTGTGTTCTTGAGCAGGACAAGACAATCCTGTACATGGTGAAACTGACGCTGAAGCTGTCGTGCGCCATGAACTTCCTCATCTACCCGCACGACACGCAGGAGTGCAAGCTGCAGATGGAAAGCTGTGAGTACACCTTCATCATCATTAGTTAGTAGGTCATTAATGCCCGTTTTCACCATCAGTTCCTAATTTTTCAGTGACCTCTTTGAAAACAAAATTCCTGTTATGTGTTACCATTGCGGTCACTTAAAAATTAGGGATTGATGGTGGAAACGGGCATCACTCTCCACTACAGGAACACGACCCTCTCTAATTTATCAGATTTACTTCACCACACTGGCCAGACGGATTGGGGAGGCATAGAGCTTTAAACGCACTGCATACTTGATGTTTAGCAGCGAAACAATCACGCGATCGTAAAAGGCACGTTGACCGTTTATTCCCGATGTCCCTATTTGTCCACCACTGGTGGACATTGAGAAAAAAGTGGCAATATCCACCAGTGGGGGACAGCGCTACTGAAATCTTCCCGTTGGGCCCTACTGGTGGACACTGAGAAGAAATGAGTTGCTCTGTCCCTCTGTGGTGGACATCGAAACCAAAAAAGTTCCATTGTCCCCCACTATTTGTTTTGTTTTCGTGATTATTAAAAAAAAATTTTTTTTAATTCGTATCAAATTTAATTCTCAGTTTTTTAACATTCCACCTTTCCTATTTATGTAAACTTTTTCAATTTGTCGTGAACTAGATCCTGCAATTTCCGACATTATTACAGATAATAAGTGCTAAATAGTAACATTACCGACACAATAATTTCTGATAACATGAACATTGTGGGTACTTGGAAAATTAAAAATGACAAAACCGTTCCGATTAACGCACACTTCCTAGGGGCGTCAGTATAAATAAGGATTGTTTTAAACTATAATAAAAATGCTTTAAAAATGTAGTATTATAATTACTAGTATAAGATTTATTTAACCCTACAGTGGTCGCGTGGATTACACCCGTAATCCACTCGTGCAAATTGTCGAATATTTTGAAATCGGTCAACGCGATCGTTTTGATACTTCGTGTACTTTAAGTTGCATAGTCGAAGATCACACTTAATGACATGTGAGCGCCAGGTCGCTTTTGGATGTGTCGCAGGAGCCCCATAAATGCCGATGGTCTACCCGTGTAATCCGCGCGACCAATTACGTAAGTATTTTTTAAGTTACCTTTTTTACTTAATGTGTTTGTTTTTGCATTATTAGAGTAAATTAATGCTTTATAATAAATAATTACGGCATAGGTATGTATTTACATTTGTGTTTTCAATAAAATAATTGTATTTCAGATAAAAATCATGAACAATAGACAAAAAGCACAAATTGCAGAATGGCTAGAAGTAATTGACAATGAAAGCGTATCTTCTGGCGAGTCTTCGGTTTCTAATGAAGAAGTGCACATTCTTCCACAAGAGAACAAGTTTCTCAGACCAGTGATTATCCATCTAATTCAGAACCATCACAGCGGAGTTTTTTAGGTCGCTACTTTTACTGCGGAAGAAAGCGAAATCAAAGTACTGGAAATACTTGTAATTCGTGCAACAAATTTATTTGTCCTTATCATTCCATGATGGCCTGTATCTCCTGTTCAAAATATAAATAATAAATAAGTGCAATTAGTACTGGATAATTTCTAAACTGCCAAAGTTGACATTTTCTTGATGAAAAATGATGATTTTTATGTTTTGGTTAATTTATAAAAACTGAGAAGAACTGCTCGTTTCTTTGTTTGATTATTTCATTAACTAATACATAACAATAAATATAAAAAATAAAAAAACATGTTTTTATAAAGATATGTCTTCTTTTTTTACTCCATAAAATGGCTTACGCATGTAATCCGCGCGACCATTAACGTAATATTTTAGAGCGCGACCACCGTAGGGTTAAAATGTTTGTATTCATGAACACAAATATATACAGTTGTCCGGGCTTGTAGTGATTAAACTTTAATGGCGTATTCTATGGACAATTTTATCGATGAAAATACTGCAAATTTGGGGCTTGACCCATTTGTCGCAAAATTACGAGGATTTAAGTTTTTAATTTTTAGTTTTCACCTCTTCCTTCAAAAACAAGTGAAAACGTGGGTAACTTAACATTAATAAGCGAATATTTGATATCATGCGATAGTCAATAAAATTATCTATTAGTAGAAGTAGAAAACGGACACAAGTTTCATACATTTTATGCGCTTCATAGCCGGTTCCATAGGTTGTGTGAAATGTTTCAGGCAGTGCATTTTCGCATGTTAGCAGCAGTATGGAACCGGCTGGGAAGGGGTATCTTTGTTCAACAATTACGTCGAAACCAATAATAATAAATAATAAATAATAATAAATAACTTTATTGTGTTTTTAACAATGCACATGGTATCTTAACGAAAAAATTACATTTAACAATAGGAGCTGTATTAACACCTTTGCTGCGGCAGTAACTTTCTAATGCTTTCCATTCCTACGGTACAAGGTCAGTAAACCTGGTATTAAAACTTACATTGTGGCGACACAAGGCTTAAAGACCTTGTAATATTTAAGATATATTAATTTTATTTTTGGCTTCATGTTAATAGATATGGTGTTTTTTTTCTTTGAATATTAATAATAATGCATTTATTGACATACACCTGAAGGCGTTCGTGAATAACTTGTTTAGTATAAAAATTATAGCTATATTCAAAATACAAGGCTTATGCACCCTGTGCCGCACTGAAGTAGGGAAGTCTGGTGGGTATTCTAGGGATGTGAAATACAAATATCGATAGTTTAAATTAAGTTTTAACAAAAATTTAAAAAAGTAACAAACAAAGATGTTTTAATAATGTAGTCTTAATATTTTACAAATAAGACATACGTTCATAAATACTCAAATAAGCTATATTTAAAGAAAACATATTATTTAATAACATTTAGTTACAACTTCAAATGTTTGTCACGAAAAACATTTTTTAAATTAGCAATAAATCGTGTAGCAAATTAAATTATAATCAANCGGAGTTCCACAGGGTAGTGTCCTAGGACCTACCCTGTTTTTAATCTATATTAATGGCCTATGCCAAATGACTTTACCAAATTGTAAAATCCTAACATACGCAGATGACACGGTTCTTCTTGTGCATGGGGATACTTGGAAGCATGCCCGTAAATTGACTGAAGGTGCCCTAAGTGCTGTTGCTCAATGGCTTAATAGAAACCTATTAACTCTAAACGTGAGCAAAACCAAGTATATTACCTTCTCTGCTTCTGTAACTTCACAACCAAAGGATCCTTTTGACGCGAAAATTCACACATGTGATGAACATGACCAAACCTGTTGCTGCCTATCACTGTCGCGTGCCAATGACATTAAGTACCTGGGTGTCCACCTTGACAGTACTCTCAGCTGGTCCACTCATATTGTTAATTTGACTTGCGCCTGCGAAAAGTCATGCCGATCCTGAGAAAATTGAGAAACTCAGCTGATATAAATACCAAAAAATGTACGAGCACTTGCACAAAATAGTTGTTACAACCAACCTTGTGTTGGGTCTAATTCTCGTCACTACACTGCACAACTTAAAATAATTACGTTTTTTGTCGGTAAAAACGTCCTGGTGACGTCACTTAAGCATTTTTCTTATACTGCGTGCGGTCGTTGCGCGTGCGCACAAAGGAATGAGACCGCTCGGACACCGAGCCCACAGCGTGGTAGGGGTGGGGTTGCCCGCTCTTTTGTTTTTTACTACTACTACGCTGAATATTGTGTGCGGATTGGCTTGTCGTACAGGGGTACTACACGGTAAAATAAATCTCGGAGGCGAAAACAGGATAATGTTTATTTTGTTGTAAAGGAATGAACAACGCACATAGTATTGTCTACTCGCAAGAGCAGTTCTATGAGGTACACTGTGACATACTCTGTGTGTCGTGCGCCGGTTTTGTAGGGTCACGTCTAAGGGAAGCGAGGAATGTTTGCGTAACATCAATTGAAGCACATAAAGCTGTCTCACTGAAAGGACCTGGCAATCCCAACTAATATTATAAATGCGAAAGTAACTCTGTCTGTCTGTCTGTCTGTTACGCTTTCCCGCTTAAACCTCGCAACCGATTTTGATGAAATTTGGCATAGAGATAGTTTGAGTCCCGAGAAAGAACATAGGATAGTTTTTATCCCGGTTTTTGAAACAGGGACGCGCGCGATAAAGTTTTTCTGTGACAGACAAAATTCCACGCGGGCGAAGCCGCGGGCGGAAAGCTAGTTAGCATATAATTGAGCAGTTGGATAACGGTATGGTTTCCCGGTCATAACTTTTAAGACAGTTCTCTNCAATACAATACCATGGACTGTGCTATTGCACAATAGACCATCCTGAGGGTATTTATATCAGCTGAGTTTCTCAATTTTCTCAGGATCGGCATGACTTTTCGCAGGCGCGAAGTCAAATTAACAATATGAGTGGACCAGCTGAGAGTACTGTCAATAGACGTAGACTAATAAATTTACATTCGTTTTGTAAGAATGCTTACTTCCATAAAATGTATGAAACTTGTGTCCGTTTTCTACTTCTACTAATAGATAATTTTATTGACTATCGCATGATATCAAATATACGCTTATTAATGTTAAGTTACCCACGTCTTCACTTGTTTTTGATAGAAGAGGTGAAAACTAAAAATTAAAAACTTGAATCCTCGTAATTTTGCGACAAATGGGTCAAGCCCCAAATTTGCAGTATTTTCATCGATAAAATTGTCCATAGATTACGCCATTAAAGTTTGATCACTACAAGCCCGGACACACTGTATAATAGTGGAGGACAACGAAACTTTTTTGGTTTCGATGTCCACCACTGAGGGACAGAGCAACTCATTTCTTCTCAGTGTCCACCAGTAAGGCCCAACGGGAAGATTTCAGTAGCGCTGTCCCCCACTGGTGGACATTGCAACTTTTTTTCTCGATTCCACATCGGGAATAAACGCGCCCACATATAAAATTTTATTCTGTTATTGATGCTGCAAACGCGAATTATGTTGTTATGAACAGTGCAAAACATTTCAAAATACAATAAAATTTTTCAGTTTCTTGTCACTAGCGAACAGGTAGGTCGCCAAAACCCATTTCTA